GCGAGAGTAATTTAAACCATCACTTGAATTTTGCTGCCCCGGTGAATAGATTGGAGAAGAGTTGTTGAGGATTTCCGAGTGGATTTTTGTGTATGAGACAGTGTGCTCCGAACTCAGGAGTTGAGAAGAAAGGAAGACGAGGAATAGAAAGAAAGAGAAGGAAAATCGAGAGGAAAATCTAGAAGTCTAAGAAAAGGAATTTGGCGAGAAAGTGTGGCGGCCATCACTGTCAGTACCTTTAACCTGTTAGCCTGCGCCAACGAAGATTATCCACCCAGTTATTTTTTCTGCAACGGTGTGCCTCGTATGTTAGTAGATTTTTATCCATAGTCATATCTCAATGAGTCATTCTTTTATTGAAATTAAAATTAAATTAAAGTTTAATAGTATATTGCTCACCTAGGGAGGAAAAGTAGACAAGTCCTTCCCACGTGCAAAATTACCATCCGAGCCGAAGGCGAGGGTGGTATGCACGTCGGAAATGCTTGTCTGATTTTTCTATCGATATGCGGCGAAAGTGACGTTTCTAACCGAACGAAGTGAGGTTAGAATGCTCACTTTCGGCGAATGTTAAGATTCGTCAGCACGGTTACGACGTCGTAAATCATCGCCGTCAACGGATTTCACGACTCATCCACACATTTTCTGATGGCCTTAAACGTGATAGAAATGCCATCTCTTTTGTAGTTCCCGGGAGTTTTTAAAACATCCCCAGGTTAATGGATAACTTAATGTCAGGAGAATGGATTGAAATAGAAAATGTGGTCAGTTCAAATGACAATAAATTTTTGGGGTATATTTTATATGTGAAAAAAAATTATCGTGATGGGACGAAAATTCTATACTGATTTTTCCGTCATTTAATAACTATCTTGGCTAAATTTGAAAAATATTTCAAAATAAAATTCGTTTGTCATAGACGAAAAATTGTCAGTAGGAAGATAAACCACCGTTATTATTATTATTATTATTATTATTATTATTATTATTATTATTATTATTATTATTATTATTATTATTATTAGTATTAGTATTATTATTAGTATTATTATTTATTATTTTATTTAGCTATTCCAGGCTTGGATCCAAGCCTGGATCCAAGCTC